TCTACGTGGGGCTACCCTTGAAGACGGTCCGGATACTTCAATTGGTTCAAAATAGAGCTGCCAGGCTGCTGACGGGAACTGGACGTTATGTTCACATGACTCCAGTTCTCCGGCAGCTTCACTGGCTTCCCATTGAAGTCCGGGCCCAATTCAAGGTGTTGGTGATGACCTATAAAGCCCTAAACGGCTTGGGTCCTGGTTACCTGAAGGAGCGCTTATGTCCATATATGCCCAGCCGCCCCCTGAGATCAGCAGGAGAGGCCCTCCTCCGGGAGCCCGCAGTGAAGGAAATTAGGAGGGTGGTTACTCGGAGGAGGGCTTTCTCAGCGGTGGCGCCTAAGTTATGGAATGCGCTCCCCAGAGAGGTCCGCCTGGCGCTGTCGTTATTTGTTTTTCGGCGCCAGGCCAAGACCTTTTTATTTAAGCAGCATTTTAAATGTTAATATTATTGAATTTTATTTGGCCAGGGCGGCTTATCTTATTCTATTGTATATATTTTAATTGTTATTGTTTTAATTTATTGTGTATTTTATTAGATGTTGTAAGCCACCCCGAGGCTTCGGCAAGGGACGGCATAGAAATGTTTTAATTAATAAATAACTAAATAAATAAATGAGGGCAGGCCATGGATGATTTTGAAAGCAAGGACAAGCAGCTTAGGCTGGATAGGAGGCAAAAATCCAGCAGGGATTTAAGGATAGGAGTCCTTAACTATTGTTTGTTGCTTTAGCTGTAAATGATCTAGCAGACAAACAAACCATGGTTTTTTTCCTGTATTTCTAGTTTGCTCTCTTCCCACCCATTTTGCCCGTCTTAACAGCATTTTGTGCTCGTTCTGCTCTTTTTGGATGCCTCTGTTCCAGGGCAGGGTTCGGTCATGGTTCTGGATTACCTTAAGCCAAAGTTTAAGGCAGACTTAATGAGCCAAAAACAAACCATGGTTTATATTTGTGATTTATGGGTGGTTAATAAATCGTGTTTTGTGGAAATAGTTTTGAACACAATGTCAAGTTAGATTTTAACAAACTGTGACATGTTTTGATGTTAAGTGCAAATCTGGCCAATATGAGTGTGTACATAAAATTAAAAAAAGTTGTATCAAATGGTGGCTCAGCCTCTTCCATGGGAAGCATGTATCCTTGTGCATTTAGGGGCACTGGACTTTTGCCAGCCCTAATTACCGCAGCAACCTGTGTGAGACCCTTTGTTTTAGAGGGTCTGCTTAGGGGACAGGAGTTTGAGTGGCTTGCAGTAGTCCCTGAAAATCTGGTACCTTGACTTGCCTTGGTAGGTGCTTTCTGCCCACACAAAGACACTGCTGGATATAATCCCTTCTTAGTGTTTGATGAAAATGTGAGTTTGGAGGGCCATGGAAAACCAGTGCTCAGCTCTTCATATCAATTAGAGTATTTCTTAACCAACTGAGGTATTCCTGGTGTATAAAATTAAGCGTGTGGGTAAGTTTTTATGTGATTGGGTTGAATGTTTAGTATATTTCCTAATTAACTATGAAAAGGATCTTATTTTATTAGCTGCTATTCATACAGTGACAAGTTTTATGTAGTACAGGTGCATGAGGTAATGCTGACACAATGAGAAAGCTGGTGTCCCTATGAGGCATAAAACCTTCTTTGGGGTTTTTATTGCAGGGAAGATAATGATAAAGTTTTGTTTCCTTTGCATTACATAAGAGAATATTTTCCTTAATGCATTAAGGTAAAGTCTGAATAAAAATAAATAAGCCTTTTAAAGAGAATTTCCCTGAAATGTAGTTCAGAGGTCTAGGTCAGGGCCACGCTTCAGTTTACCCAGGAAAAAATACAAGGGCAACTAAGCAGGCAGCAGCACCTCCTTCTGGTGACCCAGATATTCTTCCCAAAGCTTGAAATGCCCACCATGGTATCATTGCAAGACATGGTTTGATGGTGCAAGCCGTCTGACAATAGGACCAATTTTCTGAAAGGAGGATGGTGGTCTTTCCTTCACTGGAGGCTTTCAAGCAGAGGGTGGACAGCCATCTGTTGGGGATGATCTTGTTCTGGGTTTCCTGTATCCCACAAAGGGTTGAACTAGACAGCCTACAAAGTTTCTTTCAAATAGGGTAGGATACGGTCCAAACCTGGGCCATATCCTATTCAGTGTAACAGAGGTATAGCAATAACGCAAATAAACATTTTGACTCTCTGGGTTGTTTATGATTGGAAGTATCCACCAAGGCGATAGCAGCACCAGAGGCAGATTCAGCTATGATGGAAAAATGTAGTTTTCCTCTATAAGATCAGGCTATGAGAAGCCTCGGGTTCACATGTTTCTTCATCTCTCTCATCTCCTTTCAGTTTTAAAGTAGCCAGAGTTCCCTGTGATATTCAGAGTCAAGTAACTGTGATATATTTAAACCATACTTGGAGAGAACAAGATTAAACTTGTTCTGAAACCAGCATTTAAGACTTAAGCAGTTCTCTGAATTCTGATACCATGAGGAAATCTTAGGCCTTCAAAGAATAAGAAGTTTGCTACTCTGAGACCCAGCTTACTCGTTGGGGTGGGTTGCTGGCTGAGCAATTTCCTGTGTTAAGTTTCCATGCCTGTCCCATTTCAATGCATTTTCCACTTCTATTGCTTCATAATATAGATTCTATATGCATGTAGTTTAAGCACACTGTCACCATGTTCACACGGGCTGCCAATTGCTGGCATGGTAATACTACATACATATTGAGTGGTCACATGAAAAGTACATTTAAATATGGCAATTTGTGTGAGGAATGTTTGCATAGATAAATGTTTTACCATGGGCTCCATTGCTCATAAATCAAGCCTGAATCCATACTGCATTGAAGTACCAGAACAGAGCTATTCAGAATATTGTTTCATAACCACTATCATTTTCAAGCATTTCCCCAAGGCATAAAATAGTCATCTTTTGCTACTGTGATTACTTGGTCTGGAACATGACTTTAGGCATGTCATTTTTCATGTTGGGTAATAACAGTCAGTCTCTTAAAACAATATAAAAATAACTTGCTAAATCTTAGTATGGAATAAGAGGACAATAACCTTTTGAAAAGCATCTGCTCCTAGACTTTTCTCTGTCAACGCTGAAGATTAGTGAATGTAACACTTACTCTTTTAACACAGCAGACATTGGCTTTTCTAGGGCACACTCTCTTTTGCACAGCGAGCCCCTTTGGTGAACTTAGCCACTGCCAAACAATAAGTGAAAACTTTTGTTCTCATGTTAGACTGAGTGAGAGCTGATTAGGAATCTGAGAATACAGCATTGGCACACAATCGTGTTGACAAGAGGAAAGCATGAACAATTTTGTTTTTCTTTGTCACATTTTCTCAGTCCAGGGAAAGAGAGAAACACTTGTGCTTCTTCAAACGCTGGATATACAAGTGTT